TAATACAACTACTGAGGTAGTATTGGGAGACCAGAATTACCTGACACCGAGCAAATATCTGACTGATAACCTCCACTGCTCAAGCATCCTGGTAGGACTGTGACTTATCTTGTGGTATCAGGAAGATAATACTCACTTTTGAATAGCACGCCCTTAAAACAGAACAATGTTCCTTGTAGCAAACGACCTTCCTTGCAAATAAAACATTTTCAGCACCATTCAGAGAATATCAGAGCAGTCAGTTGGGCTTCCGAGACAGATGACCAACCTGGGTTATGTGGCTATGTAAAAAGAAATTGTTTAATCCCTGATAGATCACCTTTGGTGTATCATTGCACATTTGGCGAACTGTGGTGTACAGCATGAAGATCATGATGGTGATATTTAGTTTTACTCCTTTTTCCTTTTTTTAGTAAGAAAAAAAATGATAAAAAGAAATCTATTCTGCTAGGAGCCAGAGAATTGGTTGTTCAGAGAGTACTTTGATGTAATTTACATATTTATTAGCAATTTGCTTAACATCTAAACTGTAAAATAATTGCTGGTAACAAAGTTCAATAGCAAATATCATTTACTTCAAGAAATCAAGCAATTGATGTAGTAACACATTTATTGATCACTTTACCAACTAAGGATACAATTTTATACAATCAGTCAACAGCAGTAACATACTTTATGAGAAGCTATGCTTTAAAAAATGGTGTTTACAATATGGATTTCACTATAACTTTTCAAGCCAAGCTTTTACAGTGCTAATCAGACAACTGCTATACTTGAACTTTTTCCCTAAACATCAATAATGTTGTAATTTTCCATTGTTAATGTGGTTTTAGAATTTAACAAGACAACTTTAAAAGGCTTAAAACATCCATAACATTGTCATTACTTTAACATTCACACTGATAAAGTGATACATTTAATACTTTCTAGCATTAATAAACAGTGTAAAAATATATTGCATATATATATATATATATAAATGCAATATATATATTAACGCAAGTATATATACACCATATATACTTGTATTAAATTCAGTGCCCAGTTCACCTTCCTGGCTCATGTTTTGCTCAAAAGTGATTTATCTAGTTACTAACTGTATTTTCCCCATATAGTACTCTTATAAATTTGTTTCCTTTTCCTGAAAAAACCTAGTACAAACTAGTAGTATATGATCCCCTTTCAAGTTTCTTTTATTTATTTTAAAGATTGAATAGTAGTAGTTTTAAATTAACAGAAACAAAGATATGGGAATAGGGACTCACTGTTGTGCTCCCCCATCACGTCTGCCATGGTAATTAAGCACATTAATCCTTTGGCAACGGTGGTTCCGGTTTGGCTAAAGCCAGTTAAAATTTTAGCACTGACTGCAGTGGGGATAGGATTTCACCCAGTGCGCTTTGCGCTGGACAATGCCCAGACCCCTTCAGTAAGTGGTTAAAAATCTTTGCTTAGGATGTGTTTAGCTATTAAGAGTTAAGATTAGGAAGTGCTATGCTCAAGTTGTTCATTCACAATAATGGCAAAAGGTTCAGTGATAAATTAGTAAGAAAAAAAAAGTAAACTTGTAAGGTTAAATGATCTCATAAAGGTTTTTACCGTGTTGAAAATTTCACAGTGAACACAGTATGCTAGTACAGCTGAATGTTAATGTTTGCAATGTCTGCAATTACAAATATTGCAGGTAATTATTAGCACACAGCAGCTTCCTGGTTTTCTGGACCAAGATGAAAGACAAATCAAGTAAGAACAAGAAAGAGTAAGATTCACTAAAGCTATTTATCATGCTGTACAGTGTTCCAAGGAAGACTATATCAAGACCTATATCACATATAACTATTTAACAGTTAGATTTTTATTAGTGCTCTAGATAACCAAAGACAAAGCAAGTTTGCCTCCACACTTCATGATCAGGTCCGGACGGCATGCACATCCAGAGAAGTGCAAATAACGGACCACAAAAATCTAAGCCAAATTAGAAGTGTATGTTGGGACAGCATGGACAGATAAACAACCAAGTAAAGGAATAACGTATAATGTGGATAAATAAATGGTTCATGACTGAAGAAAACCAACCTAGAACATTCAAGATTTGCTCTTCTATATAAATATATATTTTTTCCTGCAATATTTAAATCTGTGATACTTAAAGTCTTGCTAAGAATAAACTTCAATCTACTTATGCCATATTGATCATTTCTCTGATTTACAGAATGTAAAGACAAATTACTTTGTATTACAAGCATTACACAAAAAATATCTTCCCTGCTGCAGTAGTCTGCCAAAGCTGATACATGCTGAGCCCAGCACAGAGATAAACACAAACACATTTTTTTGTTGCATCTTGTAACTTGTTTTTGTCTATGACCTTGTCATTTCATGCAATACAGCACTAGCAAAAGTAGTGTGTCAACAGGTTTTTATGCACAACATCAGAGGTTAACTGCCCTTACACAGAGCCTTGCTAAAGAGCGAGTATGTACTTAGCATGAATATTATAGAAATACAGCATTTCACAACCGCATTAATATAACTCTATTGAACAGAGCCCAAGCCGCATTATTTCACATTATACAATTACTTTGTTTAAAAATAGCACTTGAGCAAGTACAAGCATACAGAAATTCAACTGATGTAAAGTGGAGCTTAAAATAATGCACCATTGCGGGGATACAGATTGCCATTCTTCCTTTTTTTGTTCTTTTCGTTAATCATCCATAACATAGCTCCTGATTAAAATGTAAAGATGGAAGAAGTATACGAGCTTATTTTTAGGGCTATATTTTTAATTAACTTGAACACAACTTTATTCAAGTTTGTGACCAATTCTGAAAAAAGTACAAAGTAATTGAAAAATCCTGTCTAGAGATAACTGCAAGTAAGTGAGGGTTATCTTTAAGACCTTTACAAATGCTTAGAGGAATTCAAGCTTACAACAAAACCCACTTCCTTCAATTGCCATAAACTTTACAGTGATTCACAGAAAGAGATGTTGTATGAATATATTTGAAAATGAATTAATTGGCTGATTACCTACAATGGAATGTGGTAATTGCTCAACATTTTTCTAAGTCACTTTAGTCAGTTGGGAACTTCAATACCAACTCATAAATCTAATCTTAAGGAAAAAAAAAGTCTCTTTTGTAGTTTTGTCACTCATATATATACTTGCCCTCAAATAGAGTATGTGTGTGTGCGCGCGCACGCGCGTGTGTGTTTGTTCACAAAAGACAAAAGGTTGAATTTTTTATTAATCACTTCATCATTGCAAAAGTTTTTCAAGATGTGCAGTAAATATACTGCTTCTTTCTTTTATTTGTTATCAGGATTGCTCTGTTATAGCCAAAGTCTACCCAGAGCGTATGATCAATAATTAGTTTGAAGGAAACAGGGCAATTCAAACTTTTTCTGAAAACAGAATAAACACAGTTATGTCTTCAACTTGTTTTGAAAACTACCATCTCATTAAGGGTTTCAAGCAGTACAGCTAAGGTAATAAAATGAAAAAACATGAAAAAAAACCCAAGTATATCACAGTTATTTATCCCTGCAAATACAAATTGCTTGGCTAATTAAGATTTGGAGGTTCTACCGGCTCTTTCCTTCAGCCTTTTTCCTGAAGCCCCATTCTTACTCGGGACATCTTTCAAAGCATTGCTTTTGGGGTTTAATGTACAAGCGTGAATGCAGCTAAAGGTGTCTCACTAGTTTTAGGATTCTGAAGACTTAAAAAGAACATCCCAGTCCATCTTTTCAAGCTTCTTATATTTGGTGAAGCGGGCACTTGGGTGCACAAAATGAGTAACTGAAGGTCTAAATGCTATGTTAGGGGCAACCACTTAAAACACAGGAGATACACACGTGTCAAGCTGAGGCACTCCAGATTGTGAGCATTTCACACAAGTCTGAGATCTCTCATAACGCTTCAGGTATTTCATTTTGTTGATAAAGCCTTATGCAAGATGCAAGGCCATAGACATTGTAAGACACAAAGACTCCTGTTTCCTGTTCATCCTCCACGTACCATGACTTTGTACTTACCTGACTGATGATGAACTCTCTGTGTGACTGTCAACTTGGTTCGCAAAGTTGGACAAAGTAGTAGATAAGGCCCCCACAGGGCATAATTTTAAATAGTCTCCCAAGAGCACTCTGAGGAGCTGTTGCTTTCTCCCTGGCAGTTTTGCTTCCTCACTAGGAAGAAATGCTTCTTGCCATAACAAATCTATATTAGGATCACCGAAGGGCACAATCAGATGCTTCCCTCCAAAAAAACAGGTACAAAGTAGACATGCGTGAAAACACAAAAGTTCCCGAGAGCTCTACTGTCATGCTATGGAGGGAGTATGGCAGCATCCCAACTGGCCAAGCTGAACAGCTCTAGCTGCACCAGGACCAGCATTTGGCCCTGTAAGATTTAAGGTTTGGATCAGCATTTATATGCTTTAAATACTTAGCTGGATCCAAAGAGTACATACACAAACACTTGTATACACACGTATACACACACACAAACCTGTACACATCTTGTGTATTATATTACTTACTACCAACTAATAGAAAAGGAAAGTACATAGTATTCAAACTACAAACAACATACACAAAGGTATAGTTATTTTGGCACTCACTCAAGGCTAACAGTCATTTTAGAGGGCATGTACTAGTAGTGCAACACGTTACTTTTTCTCCACTGTGAAAATCTGAGTGGTTTATTCCTTGGCCAGTGCAGACAGAGACCTCTTATTCAGGGATGCCACAGGCACATGCCCCAGAATACGTGTATCACTGTAAGGCAAGGTTCTGTTTTTCAACAGCTGATGCTTATCATACATGTAGCCACAAAGAATGAAACTATTTTATAACTACAGCAAGCCTTATGGAAAACGCACTAAGTTTTCAACTGGGTTTGGAGAAAGATACACAATGGTTTTCTCTACAGATGGCTATAGATGGCAGGGGTATCTACCACTTGCAAGCCAAACCCATAGGAATCATTTACCTTTTAGTTCTGGGTTACCTACAAAAGTCTAGCTGCCGTAAAGATTATATCAATTGACCCAAGAGAGGGGAAATACGCATAATGGAAATGTTAATTTCATTAAGAAAGCTTTCTATGATTCCAAAAAGCTGCTAGAAGAATTTTTAGTTTAGGTAAGGTCAGTAAAATACATGGAAAATATCATACTTTAATCCAAAATATCTCTGAAGGATAATCTTTGTGCTGATGGAAAACATAAGTTGTGACATGCGAGCAGTTTGGAAATCTTCCCTCCCCTTCCCCAAAGAAAAAGATAAAAAAAAGATATTTGTATCATTGATAAGAAATCTTGTGTTTTTTTAAAAGAGTGGCTTAGTCTTGACCAGACTGTCCAAAGTTCAATATTCCCTTTATTTGTTCTTCCAAATATTTATTAAAATTAATGACAATTGTTCACAAAGAAATGTTGAAACAATGTATTTTTTGTCTGTTTTTCAGTAAGGTTATTATGATAGCTTTGATAGCCATAAAGAATAGGATAATAATTTTTGCTACTGATTTTTCCATATAGATATTGACTGTTGGGATAATCTCCAAAAGTAACTAAAGCACAGAGAGTGATTAGAGGGAGTTAGTAAACGAGCACTAATAAGAAAAACCATTTGACTTCAGCATATTTTATTTAAAACTTACAAATCATTTTTAAAAAAACTAGGATTATTCCTTTGTCTCAGTCAGCATTTTTATTTCTTGTCCTCAGTCCTGCAAAGGCTTGACAGTCATGGACAGTGCATAAGGTTAAGTCTCTGTGGAGACATAGATAAAACTGGGTTTTGTCCTAGTCTTTAAGGGTTTAATTTTAAGTGAACTGTGTAATTTGAGTTTGTTTTTAAAGACAGTTATTGCTGTCATCTACCTGAACTACCTGATCACATTTGTCTCAATCATCTTATGCATGTTCAACTGTAAGTGAAAGCAAAGACATGAAGAAAATAGGGTTTTTATAGAAGATGCCATATAAAAGAGTACTGGGTAGTATAAGATGCTGCAAATCAGACTGGATAGTTAGATGGAACGAGTTTAGATGCCCAGAAAAAGGATAGAAGCGTAAACCTCTTAGGGGACGTGTCCTTACTTGGGACATGCCATTTAGGTACAGTCTTCAGCAATGGTGCATGAGAAGAGCGTATACTCTACAATGCTTCAGAAGGTGAAATGAGTCTCCTCCTGCACCTCCTCCACTACATCCTGCCGGTCATCTCCGAGGGACCAGCAGGACTTGCCGTCCTCAGAGTACGGAAAATGGCAGATGAACAAACAACAAAATGATGGTTAGGCCACTTTGCCTAGCTCTCCCACAGACCTGAAACTGAGTATGGCTAAATTCAAGCTAGTATTCAGGCTTTTAACTTCCCACAGATATTAATGCGAAAGTACGAGCTTATGATGGTGGCTGAAGCCTGAATACATGGCTGCCTGTGGTGCTTTCATTTCACAGCACATATCCTCCAAGCCAAGTAAAATAAAAAGGAAAAAAACTTTCCAAGGTAATGTCTTTTCAGCCACAACCTCCCTCCTTCATTCTTGTATCAGAATGACTTCTTTTCATGCCTCCATCTGATTGGGTTTTGAAACTTTCTAACTGAAGAAAAGAAGAAGAAATAAAGGAGTGTGTTCCTCACAATAAAATACTGCTATCTAAAGAATCTTCTCAAGTCTTGATCCAAAGCTTACTGTGTTATCGAAAAACCTTTGCATCAATCAGGTCCATACAAAGTGCTTCAGTTCTAGCAGGGATTTTATATTGTCCAAGTAATGCAAAATAGACGCTGGCAGAACCCCAACTAGTGCCATCAGCCTCTTCGTGTCAGCTTGGCTCAGTCCCCATTCCCAGCTCCGTTGTATGCCTTCTATCTTATGAGTGTGCTGGTCTCGCTCACACCCCGCGCTAGCCACCTGAGAAGTTAAACTCTAAAACCTTCCTCCTGTGTGCGCGTGACTCCTCCTGTGGAGCAACAGAGACGCTCAGTATTTGGGTACGCCAGAAAGCCTGTCATTTGTGTACCTCGGCTTAAGTATCGCCTAAGGTGCCAACCGAAGCGGCTAGATAGCAACAAACAGCAAGGTGAACACAGTGTCTAAAGAGCTCTGCAGGATATGGGCCTCAGCTCTTCGCTTGGGCTGGGCCTAAATCTTTTCAAATACCAGTGAGCTAGGAGTCAAGTCTTAAAGTCAATGGGAAGAATAGGGACGTTAGTTTTGCCTGTAACGTAGTTAAGGATTTGGCAACGATTAGAAGTGTCGTCCTTTTATTCATAAAAAACAGGATCATTCTGGAGCCCTTTTCAGGCACACAAGCATGTGGGACATATGAAAAAGAAGCAGGTTCTCTACAGCCAGCCACTTCCTTCCCCTTCCACTGCTGGGCTGGAATAATTTAGCCGTCTCTTGTATCACAGTGTGCTATTTTCTGCATTTGAAAGTGTGACAGGTCACCAGTGCAACACAGAAGTGGATAACCCTTCCTTCCCTGGAATTTTTTTTTCAAGAACAACGGTAACTCATGGAAAGCCTTTGCAAACCTGAAAGCTTCTCATCCTGAGCATCCTCTCATGCATCAAAAATCTTCCCAGGTAACCAGAGCCACCCATGGGAAAAAGCTGAGTTTTGGCAAACTTCCCTTCTTCCTCAAAACAAAAACCAAAACAAATTATAAACAAACAAAAAATCTCCAAGTCCATGAGGAAGTCCTTGCCTTTGTTTGTTGTTGTTGTTTTGGTTTCAGGCTGATCTATGGGCTCAAAGGGTCACTGGAGGCAAAGTTACAAGAAAGGCTACCATTCAATGTCAGAAAAACAAAACATAAACTGTTCAAGCCAGTCCTCCGTTGCCGGACGCGAGCCAAATACAAGCTGCTGACCTGCATGGCACATGACAGCGCATGCAGCTCACCAAAGACGGATTTTGTGCACTCTAAGTGTGAGGCTGATAAGGGTGAGGGGAGAGCAGCAAAGTTATTAACCTTTATCCAGAGTTGAGCATTAAAATCAGTGCATGAGCTTGTTTTGAAAGAAAGTAAAATAGAACTGCTGGCAGCTCTTTTTAAATACTCAGATCACATCTTTCATAATTTTATAGAAGCAGAGTAATACTTTAGGGTGCTTGTTCTGCTCTCCTGAAAATTTGAATCAGCTTTTTCTCTCCTTTTTACCTAAAAGCAAGTGATTTTTATTCCTATTCACCTGTTTTAGCATTTGGAGCCCCATGCAGGTCATGCTCAGCTGCCCGTACCTTAACCCTACGGAGCTGATTCTCCTAAAGCAGTGGAAAGCCATTCCCATCAATATCCTGGAGTAATTCCAATTGCTCTGGAGCTAGGCAGCATAAGTGAAAGGAGAATTGAGTCCTCTGGCTTCAGAGAAAGCTACCGGGCCACATAGTCTGGCTTTAACAGTATAATTTTGGGGGCAAATTGCACTTAATTATATGGATACTAACTTTAAGTGTCCTTATTCCAAGGAGCCATAAACTTTCTTTACACCTACTATACATTAAAGGGAATATGTGTCAATGTACGTGCATAAGTGCGCGTAAGGACATTCACCTAACAATAGCAATCTGACTGGCAGTGTTTAGTCATAATTAGTATTTTAAAGCATTATCTTAATGCCCCCTTCATTTCAAATGTGAGGCAGTGCAAACTTGAAAATAGACTTAAAAAGGTTTTAGAGACTTTCTTAGTTATGTCTTGTTCCTCATCTCTCAGGTTAGTACATTAGCTCCATCCAAATCCAGCCAGTCAGAACCATGCTACAGTACACATAGTAACTAGCAAGAAGTATAGATAGGAGGGAAATAAGGGCTGGTATTTTCCATATCTTTCTGCTGACACAAATACATTAGAAGCTAAATTGTCTCAGAAGTAGCTTTTTTTTTTTTCAGTTGTTCATAAATGGTATTATGAAATGTACAGGCTAGCACCTGTATATTATAACCACTTACTCCCCAATAGTACATTGTTGAATCTTTTAGGGAAGTGCCAGATCCCCTATAAGACATTGAAAAAACCCAAAAACCCCAAACAGTAGTCAAATCATAGGCCATAAGTAATGGGATGCTCTTCAGAAAGTTTGCTATCGACAGACCCTCTTTCAAGAGGTTCTCTTCTACATCTTCAGGGCAACTGGGCACTTAGGAATGTTTGAGATCTTTCGCTAGAATTGACAGTGTGGTATGACAGCTCTTGGCTTTGGGGTTTTTGTCTAAAGCTCAACAAAATTGTGTGTTTCTTGTTCTGATACATTTATTTTTGCCAATATACGCATGAGGAATGTAATGAAGTGGCGTTGTGCTGCAAGTAGCTCAGCAGATGTTGAAATCAGTTCCAGTTCCTGAAAACAACTTCTTGACAACATAGTCTTAGCATTCACAATAACTGAAACATGTGGGATTCATTTACATCATTCTTACAAATATATTCTCTCTCCCCCTCTTTTTTTCCCTCTGCATTGTAAACCCTCAGCCTTACTTGCTTCCTTGCACTTTATGATCGTATGTGCCTGCGTGCTTATAGCCGGATACGTATCCTGAAGCATCCACCAGATCTTCTCGGCCCGCTTTGCCTTTTCCTTTCCCACTTGGATCAAACCTCTCTTTGTGAGAACCCGTGAATTTTGATGTATCTGTAAGGCGTGATACAGTTGGAGATGAAATGGCTTTCTATTGGAAGAAAGAAAAGACACACAAAAAAGCACATCAGAAAACAATTATTGTTAACAATACAGGTATTTGCACATGCTGTTGACAATTTAAATCTTTGCTACTAAAGGAGAGCATGTAAATGTCTACTCAGGTCCAGCAAGAGGAAACAAGAAATGCTCTTTTCTTACCATTATATACAATGACAATGATCATTATACAGCCAAGAACAAAATGGTGCAAGTTACATTAAAGAAGTTTGGAAGAGATTTTCAGTATCAAATATTTCAGGCTAATAATCAAGTTCTAACTTCAAAGATATGAAAAAGCCACAGGGAACAGACATGTTCAAAACCTCTGAAATCATCCAAGCATAAAAGCCAGGCTCCACCAAAACAGAACAAACAAACCAATACATATAGCTAGAATTCCCTGCTTCAAGAGACTGAAATTTATCCTAAAATCTAGGATTTGTGAGAGAAGTAACAAACTAGTTGGACTGACAGTTATTTTCAATGTTAGCAAATTAGCAGTCAGTGAAATAGCAAAGCAAAGACTTTCTCCTACATTGCTTCACTAAGTCATATCAGGCTACTTAAAATCAAGGTTTTGCTGTTATTGAGACAAAGAAAATTCAACTACACAAACAGAATGAAAAAGATATTTCACAGAACAGTATAGGAATACACTAACTTCTGTGCTGGGATTGAGAGCAGTCTCTTTGATTTTTTTTTTTTAATTTACATTTTAAAATCTGAAGAGAAAGGGCTCTAAAGGAGAAAGAAAAACACATATAAAATATTTTTGTGCTGTAGTGGAAACGGTGCTAAGATGAAAAAAGATTGGTAAAATTTGGTCTTACTTCACCCTATATTAGGGTGTGTTTTAGAGACAGAAGTGCCACTATTTTCCTTGTGGCAAAGTAATTGCTTTGGGAAACTTTTCCTTCATCAAAAACCTCATCCCTCCCCTCTATCTATCCTTATCCCAAATGAGAAATGCTCAATAACCAGATCTAACAAACAGGTTTTCAAAATAACATAGTTTATAAACAATTGGCTAGTAACTCTTCCATATGACAACATAGCTTGGACACGTTTTAATGCTCGACATTAAAAGGTCAGAGCATTGAAACGACGCTTGCCACCTTTACCAAAAGGAACAACACACCTGGGTTCAATTAGACCAAAACTGGCAAGAAGCTCTGTAATCGACGCTTATCCATCACAGAAGCCACATGTCCTTCGCACCATTTAAATAAAGGCTGTTTTGAAGGATCTGTCTGTCCACATACATAACTACTTCAGACTCCCAAGTTGTAAGCTTCTGCTCCTCTCTTTCCAAACAAGTCCAATACATGACATGTACAATAGCAGTTCTGCAGTTTTGCCTTCAGGCTGAGTCTCGAGAGGAAAGTAATGCAGAGGTGAGGATTCAGTTACTAGCTGAAAGACTAGGACCACTGGAGCCTTCGTTTCTCAAAATAACATCACTGAAAAACCTTTTGAGACCTGCAGTGTTATTTTCCTGGACTGAAAAACAGAAATGAAGATGATACCTAGGAAGTAGCACCCCTTCTTAATAAATACATGCATTTTTCTTGTTCACTTTGCTTACTAGCACCTTATAACCAGAAAATCTGTAATCACAGCAGAATCAATTTTAAAAATACACCCTTTGATCAGCAATTGTGTCAGCAGCCCAGCTAGATAAAACAAAAACGCAAAAAGAACGCATAAGGTGAGACATTATGAGCAGCACAGTAAACTCCTGGCCTGGTCCCTAACCAGGAATTTATCCTATCTGTTCTTCAGAGTATTAGTAAATCAAACAGGCTGTGCATATATTCACATAATAGAAATAACAGAACATCTGGCCACCTGACATTGCTTTGACATCTCAGGGGAAAGCAAAAAAACCCACACTCCTGCATGCAACAGTGCAGGTCACACACCTCCAGGGGAAAATGGTCCAGCACAACTATTTGTTTCACTTTGGGCACAGGCACTAGTAATTCCACGCTGCATTAACTCTTTAATTGTGAACTACTCTTTTGTTTGGCAAGTGAAAGGAAATATGGGGGAGCTTTTATATTGTGTAGTGTTTTGTGTTATACAGTGTTCATCAAGAACTCAGTCGCTACACGAAGACAAAGCTGTCAGACTGCTTGACTGAACAAGAGCATCTTCCAGCAGCCACAGACATGCAGTTTGGACAAAGCATCTACAGCACTCGGGATGGATTCCTCATTTCTTTTTCATTTGAAAACCCCAATAGGTCACAACAGCTGCAGAAGCGTATTAGCAAAGGCTGACTGCAGGACAAAGTACATAGGAGGAAGCTCCTCATGCCTGATTATAACCAGATCCTTCTCTCTCCAAAAGGACATAGGGTGTTTCCTACCGAAAGCATCTTCTTGACTATTAGCATACTTCTGTGTTCTTAACACAGGTATTAAGAACACCAGGTTTCTGTAACTGTGCATACACTCTGCATTCTCACACGCACAGAAAAGTCTCAGGTAGTCTAGGGGGCTTCCTTTTCCTTAGCCAATTCATTTGCAGGACAGACTGCTATTCTGACAAGTTGCAATGGTAAGCTTAACTCAACTGGCTGGAAAAAGAAGGGCTATGGTTTCTGCCCCTTTGTTTAAAAGAGGGTGGCGTGATAAGCAGGAAATTCTCCTCAGTATCCAAATTACGGTGAAAGCAAGAATTCTGGTACAGTAGGGATTTGGTATCAGAAGTACTAAGATTTGCATGAATGCAATCTGAATGGAAATGCATGGGTATGAAAACATCAGAAGGAAGAGCAAAACAAGGATTAGCGGAACGGCCTGTGTTGTAACGAAGAACATTCTCAGGATATTGTTCCCAGGACAGCATTCCCAGTGGTAAAATTGAGGAATGTGTTGTTTATGTCAAGACCAGAAGGCCTGCACTCTGATGAGACCAAAACATAGATGACTTACCAGCAAGAGACCCTGCATCCTAACAGCAAGGCTGTAGCGACAAGGTTGCAGCACACCACATGTGCCTTTCCTTTTCCTGTTAGTCTACCAGGAAAATAGAGAGAGATTTCAAACTAACAGAGGAAAGCAGAAGCTGGGCAGCAACCTGATCTACAGTTTATGGCAACTGAACTAAGCAAGCTGCTGAAGCAAAGGACCAAACGGCAACAACTGTTGACTCTTAAAGGCTATATAAAACATCTATCCAAAAACTAGTTTGTCAGTGTAAATCATGAAGATCCCAGGAGACATAGTGAGGACTCGATAGTCAGCACCCCTTGTCATCTGTGTCCACCTAGGTGATCTTGGCCGGATCACTTTTCCGCACAGATCTTGGTGCTTGGGTGCCAGAGTGTGAGTGAATGAAGTCTGAGAAAACAGATCCGCATAGGTGAAAAATGACTTACTTAAGAGATTTTGTAAATAAATTTCACTGTCCCCTTCTATAAGGTCTTGCACTGAGGTTTTTCACACTAATTTCCTATAGACGACTTAACTTGAGTTTACCAGTCATCTGGCTAGAGATTTTTGCCATCCACTACTTTATCCAGGTATCTATTTTGTAATGCCGTTGCTTCATCAGGTGGAGACTAGTGCTAGGACTAACACAAAAGCATTCTTTTATAACCCATTCTCTTTCTGCTAGAGTCAAATCTTTCCCAGTGCAATAGCAATACAGCAAACGGTTGAAATGTGATAAAATAGCTCTAAAGTTTAGCACCCTTTTCACATATCTAAAAAAAAAAAAAAACACTTATTTAGCGGACAACTGGGATTATGGTTCAGCTCTTTGGCACTCACATCTATTAACTGAAAGCTTTAAGCTCTGATGTGCGTGTGTGGGAGTGGCAGCATCAAAGTTCCAAATAAAGGTAATTAACACCACAGTTGGAAAAAAATAAAAAACCCTCCGTTTTTCTTCCTGAAAAACAGTCCAACAAAATGGAAAGCCCCAGCACAATGAACATTACAAATGCAGAACAACAAAAACAGTGATCCCATGTCACGTGCTCCTTCAGTCCAGGATGGGTCAGAATGCTTCCAGCATCATGGGAGTCACAGTATACAGAATAAACAAAAAAGCAGTAGCTGTGAGGCTGAAATTCTTTCTCTAGATTCTTTCAGCTGAGTATGAATTGCAGCCTTTTCCCATACTGTTTCTGGGGTCACTGCTGCACCCCTCCCACCCGTGACAGAATATTACAGTTGATGGATGGCAATCTTTGTTGGCTCCTTGTTAGTACAATTTCTAAGAAATAGGAGACTCACTGTTGCCATCAGCAAAATCTTCAGGCAATTTTTAATCCTTGCAAAATCTGCTCTCACCTTCTGAACTGATCCATTCTTACGAAAGATCAGAGACAATCAGCTGCCCCCGTAAGACTGTGTCAAATGCACTGGTTCTGCTGCTTTTGCTGAACGTTGTTTCTTGTGATCAATGCTTAACCACTAAAAAGAAAATACGACTTCCTCTTTAAGATCATGGGAACATTGCATGGAAGGCCCAGGCACAACCTAAGCATCCTGCTGAGGAGCTCATTTTCCAACAAGCCTTTGCAAAGGCAGGGCAGGACAGACGAGGAATTTCACATCTCTCTTGGACTCCTTACCCAGAAACACCTAGCTGTAGCGTATGAAGCATAATTTAGTTAGGACTGGGGTTGTTTTGTTTTTATATAGGCAGTATTTAAAGGAATTAAGTATACCACAGTAATTTTGGTTCTCAAATCACGCATTACTCCCAGCTATTATTCCCAGCTCATGGACCTAAAGTGCACCCAATTTGTTTTTATCAAGACATTGCTTCTGCTTATGAACAACAAACCAATGACAGACTAAACTGGCAACTGAGTCAAGGCCAAAAAAATTAGCAGGGTAGACAGGAACTCATTCTTCTGTGCAACCCAGCTGTTCACTGGTAATTGCATATGGTCATTGGGAGCGAAAAAAAGGGAGTTGCCCATCCCTCTTCAGTGGTAAAAACATAAGGAGGACCATGGTAACCAGCACC